GCCGTACCACACAGTGGAAAAGCGTAGCGAGCCGCGCCGAACTGTACTGAGCCGTACCACACAGTGGAAAAGCGTAGCGAGCCGAGCCGTGCCGCGCCGAACCGTACTGAGCCGTACCACACAGTGGAAAAGCGCAGCGAGCCGGGCCGAACTGTACTGAGCCGTACCACACAGTGGAAAAGCGTAGCGAGCCGGGCCGAACTGTACTGAGCCGTACCACGCAGTGGAAAAGCGTAGCGAGCCGGGCCGAACTGTACTGAGCCGTACCACACAGTGGAAAAGCGTAGCGAGCCGGGCCGAACTGTACTGAGCCGTACCACGCAGTGGAAAAGCGTAGCGAGCCGGGCCGAACTGTACTGAGCCGTACCACACAGTGGAAAAGCGTAGCGAGCCACGCCGAACTGTACTGAGCCGTACCACACAGTGGAAAAGCGTAGCGAGCCGCGCCGAACTGTACTGAGCCGTACCACACAGTGGAAAAGCGTAGCGAGCCGCGCCGAACCGTACTGAGCCGTACCACGCAGTGGAAAAGCGTAGCGAGCCGTGCCGAACCGTACTGAGCCGTACCACACAGTGGAAAAGCGTAGCGAGCCGCGCCGAACTGTACTGAGCCGTACCACACAGTGGAAAAGCGTAGCGAGCCGGGCCGAACTGTACTGAGCCGTACCACACAGTGGAAAAGCGTAGCGAGCCGCGCCGAACTGTACTGAGCCGTACCACACAGTGGAAAAGCGTAGCGAGCCGGGCCGAACTGTACTGAGCCGTACCACACAGTGGAAAAGCGTAGCGAGCCGGGCCGAACTGTACTGAGCCGTACCACACAGTGGAAAAGCGTAGCGAGCCGGGCCGAACTGTACTGAGCCGTACCACACAGTGGAAAAGCGTAGCGAGCCGCGCCGAACTGTACTGAGCCGTACCACACAGTGGAAAAGCGTAGCGAGCCGCGCCGAACTGTACTGAGCCGTACCACACAGTGGAAAAGCGTAGCGAGCCGGGCCGAACTGTACTGAGCCGTACCACACAGTGGAAAAGCGTAGCGAGCCGGGCCGAACTGTACTGAGCCGTACCACACAGTGGAAAAGCGTAGCGAGCCGCGCCGAACCGTACTGAGCCGTACCACGCAGTGGAAAAGCGTAGCGAGCCGCGCCGAACCGTACTGAGCCGTACCACGCAGTGGAAAAGCGTAGCGAGCCGTGCCGAACCGTACTGAGCCGTACCACACAGTGGAAAAGCGTAGCGAGCCACGCCGAACCGTACTGAGCCGTACCACACAGTGGAAAAGCGTAGCGAGCCGCGCCGAACTGTACTGAGCCGTACCACACAGTGGAAAAGCGTAGCGAGCCGGGCCGAACTGTACTGAGCCGTACCACACAGTGGAAAAGCGTAGCGAGCCGAGCCGTGCCGCGCCGAACCGTACTGAGCCGTACCACACAGTGGAAAAGCGTAGCGAGCCACCCCGAACTGTACTGAGCCGTACCACACAGTGGAAAAGCGTAGCGAGCCGCGCCGAACTGTACTGAGCCGTACCACACAGTGGAAAAGCGTAGCGAGCCGAGCCGAACTGAGCCGTACCACACAGTGGAAAAGCGTAGCGAGCCGCGCCGAACTGTACTGAGCCGTACCACACAGTGGAAAAGCGTAGCGAGCCGGGCCGAACTGTACTGAGCCGTACCACACAGTGGAAAAGCGTAGCGAGCCGCGCCGAACTGTACTGAGCCGTACCACACAGTGGAAAAGCGTAGCGAGCCGGGCCGAACTGTACTGAGCCGTACCACACAGTGGAAAAGCGTAGCGAGCCGGGCCGAACTGTACTGAGCCGTACCACACAGTGGAAAAGCGTAGCGAGCCGCGCCGAACCGTACTGAGCCGTACCACGCAGTGGAAAAGCGTAGCGAGCCGTGCCGAACCGTACTGAGCCGTACCACACAGTGGAAAGCGTAGCGAGCCACGCCGAACCGTACTGAGCCGTACCACACAGTGGAAAAGCGTAGCGAGCCGCGCCGAACTGTACTGAGCCGTACCACACAGTGGAAAAGCGTAGCGAGCCGGGCCGAACTGTACTGAGCCGTACCACACAGTGGAAAAGCGTAGCGAGCCGAGCCGTGCCGCGCCGAACCGTACTGAGCCGTACCACACAGTGGAAAAGCGTAGCGAGCCACCCCGAACTGTACTGAGCCGTACCACACAGTGGAAAAGCGTAGCGAGCCGCGCCGAACTGTACTGAGCCGTACCACACAGTGGAAAAGCGTAGCGAGCCGAGCCGAACTGAGCCGTACCACACAGTGGAAAAGCGTAGCGAGCCGCGCCGAACTGTACTGAGCCGTACCACACAGTGGAAAAGCGTAGCGAGCCGCGCCGAACCGTACTGAGCCGTACCACACAGTGGAAAAGCGGCCAAATACAACAGAACAAAGATACAAATTAAATAATCAGTGCTTTTAAGGTTTTTGAGGTAGGTCTAACAGTTCTCAGGTACAGAAATTGAATGTAAAATAACTGTATACAAATTAAATTCTTATTTTATTAAAATTAAAGTTACAAAATATCATTCAGTGAAGTGCAGGGAGTGATTTCTTTTTTTTTTTTGTAGTTTGATTAACCTTATGACAGACATCACAGCAGCAGCAATATAAGGCTTCTGGCGCTTTAAGACGAATGCACAGATCCAAAATACTGATACACATGCGTTCTTTCTCAACTGCTCAAGGCATACCCAACTATGTTTACTTGGATACTCGAAAAGGGGGGCATTTTGAGATACATTTGTGTGAATTTGTCCGTTTAAGCACAGGGAGACGTGAAAGAGAATGCTTAAATTGGCAAGGCTTGAAAACGCACGCAAATTATAAACTTTCGTGATCATGCAGAACTGGCCCAATTAGGACACTGACAGTTCCTTCAGCTGTCTGGAGCGTCTTTCACGCTGAAAGGCGAAGTAGTTCAGCACTAAATGAAGTAGCACAGGCTCACGGCTGTAACATCGCGCCAGGTTAAGATAAATAAGTATAAATAAATCTTGTAGTCTAGTAATAAGATTAACGACAATCAGATATTATGTTCAATGTTAGCGGAAATAAATACAGAAAAAAAAAAGATCGATTCGCGGCTTTTGAGAATCGATATTGAATCGACCACATTTAAAAAAAACGATAAATCAAAAAAATCTTTTTATTTGCCGAGCCCTAACAGCAACCATGAAATAAATCAGTAGCATAGTACATGAATACTGTACGCATACTTCCAGATATGCAACAAACAACACAAAACAAGCAACAAACTACTGGAGATGCAACAACAATAGACGGCCGTGTTGACGAACACTTGTGTGAAGGGGTTGAGCAAAACACACAACTATAGATTTACCGAGTACAAAGACATTATTATCGTCATAAACAATAGCTACCATTTCAGTCTTTTGCCACAAAAAATATATTGTGCAACTTCAGAAGACGGAATATCGCACACAAGTTGTGTGGACTACTTTTATTCGCCTCCCGTTGTATGGAAACGAGTTGCCTCAAAACACTTCAAAATGTCTCCATTTGCGTTCCAGGGAAACAGCATACAGGTTTGAAAGTAAATATTGATTATTTTGATTCGAGGCAAAATAATACAACTGCTTTAGGGACAGTAAATTACAGGAGGAAGGTAAAGCGTGGCCCCACTTTAATCACCCAGTCTTTATCTATTACAACATACAGCACTGTTTTACACTGCTATTGACTAAGCTGATGTGACCTATATATTAAATGATGTTTCTTCTTGAAATGAAGATGCTTAAAGAATGTCAAACTTCAGGAAAAGTGTCAGATATTTACAGCATCAAATAACCATGACGGAAGCCTAAAACATGACAAGGCGGCAAAATTTGGAGAATTCCTGAAGGGTCAATATACAAAAGCGCGCGCACACACACACTGACTGTGTTTGTGTCCGAGCTTCTCTTCCGACACACATATTTGCGTGCTGTATGGAAGTGATATATGGTTCCGTCTCTCGGTGAGGTGAAAGAGTGCGGCCCCTCCTCTCTGAACAACATTAGCAGGCCTGTCTGCCCCGGGCCAGTTCTCATGACATCATCGCTGCACAGGAATGCTCTCAAGCAGAAAGCAGCGAGAGGAAGAGCTCATTTCATCTCTCGCTCTCTCTTTCCCTCTCTCATTCCATTCCTATCTCTTTCTGAAAAGATCAGTCAATCATTTACCCTCCCTTTCCCTTACTTGGGAAGAATTCTCCCTCTGCTTATGTTCACTGTATCTTTCTCCTTTGTGTTTTTTTTTCTCACAGACATTCATCAGCTCTCATTTTGCTAAAGCAAGCATCGCTTTTATTATTGTTCATACTTACAGAGTCATGCGTAACTCGTCCCATGGCATTCGCAGGCACGAATGATCATGTAGCTTGTTGGGGAGAGGTGTGCTATTACTTTTCTAATCGATCAGACTTAAGATTTTTCGCATGACGGATGATAAAAACAGGCTTTCTGGTTGTGGAGGGACCATTTGCCGTGAATGAACACACTCACACGAATGCAGAGTTCATTAACTGGAAAGCTATGAGTTTTTGTGGTTTTACTGGTGTGTTAAAATTAACTTCTGGGTTATTTTCAATATAAGTCAAAAAAGCTCATACGTTAAAGGGATAGTTCACACAAAAATGTAAATTCTGTCATCATTTACTCACCCTCAAGTTGTTCCAAGCCTGCATGAGTTTCTTTATTCTGCTGAACACAAAAGAAGATATTTTGAAGAATGTTTGTAACCAGACAGTTGACGGTAGTCATTGACTTCCTCCCAAAGTTGCGAATTTAACTTATGTGCAAATTTTGAATATGGATGGAAACAGCTAATGGCAACTGTCTGGTTCCCAACATTCTCCTAAATATCCTTTGTGTTCAGCAGAAAAAGAAACTCATGAAGGTTTGGAAAAACTTGAGGGAGAGTAAATGATGAGAGAATTTTCATTTTTGGGTGAACTATCCCTTTAAGCTTGTATTTTTGTTAAAGGTCCCGTATTATGCCCCTTTTCACAAGATGTAAAATCAGTCTCTGATGTCCCCAGAATGTGTATGTGAAGTTTCAGCTCAAAATACCCAACAGATCATTTTTTTACAGCATGTTTAAATTGTCATTTTTTGGGGCTCAGAAAAACGCGCTGTTTTAGCGTGTGCCCTTTAAATGCAAATAAGCTGCTGCTGCCGGCACAGGGGGCGGAGCTTAATGAGCTCGCGCTCAGTCTCGCAGGACAATTTCATCTCACGGAATGATGAGAATATCAGAAACTCTCAGTAACGGTGTTCATTTCGAGTCGGACAATAATGCCTAGAGTCAGAGTGCTGTATAGAGATGGAACAGGTATAGTTTAGTAGTTTAATTACGGTTATTATAACGGATTTGTAATCTGCTTGTATGTATCCATTATTTATTAATAGCCTACAAGTCTGCTGTTTCGGACCAGGTCCGAATGATGATCAAACATATACTGATGAGTTTAATAAAGTTTATTGTACATCACACAAAAGATGAAGCGTCAGTTTTACTTCAGAAAATCACCGTAAGAGCTGAGTAAACACAGTAAGTTATAAGAAGTGCGCAAGTTGAGGGAGCATTCCTGTGGTCGGACGTTAGTCAAAAAACTGTTCTACTGACGTCATTAACGAAGGAAGTAGAGCCAAGGGGGTAATCCATCGACCGGAAGTTGAAGCCGGCCGGGTGCCGCCATGTTGTAGCAGAACTTCACTTGCGTTAGCATTTCCATTGACTCCCATTCATTTTGGCGTCACTTTGACAGCGAATAACTTTACATCTGAGGCGTTTAAAGACTCCATTTGTCCATTATTTATTTCTAAAGAAACACGACAATGTATAAAGTGCTCCATTACTCCATAATTGTTACATTATGGCCCCGTAGAAACAGATTTAGTAAAAATAGGCTAACGATTGCGTCATAACCACTCGACTCTCTGTCGCGCTGTACAGAAATTACCGTACAGACAGGAGGAGAAGCTCGCAGGCGATCGGGGGACGTCCCGTCAAGGGAGAAGCCCATAGATAATGAGTCCATAAAAGCAACGGAATACTTACTCCTGCTCACTCACGCCAAAGAACTCTTTGCTCAAGTTCTCCGTCTCTGCAAGATTAACGTTGGCAATTTTCACGCACAGCTACTAGAAGAGTAACGTCTGTCAGACAGGTTGCTCACGTCATCAAGCTTAGTTTGAGTCGGTTTGAGTCTGCGCGTCAGGAACGGAAGTGCTCAAAAATCGCTAAAAATGGGCTTCAACTGTCTCAACTGAGTTCCAATGAGATCGCTCTGTCCACTTCTTATACTGTCTATGAGTAGAGCGATGTAGTCCAAACGGGCCGTTCGATGTAGGCGACTTCTGTTAAATAAAATATCTCGCTTGGCATTGAACTTTGAGCTTTATAATTTTACAGATATTATTTATACTCTAACAACAACATTACACACTAACTAAAGTTTGAAACATGGGATCACGAAGAACGGGACCTTTAAAGTACTAACATGAACTCTTCAGTGGAAACATGTTATTTGAGTTGTAAAGTTGTGTGTTAAAGATGGTTAGAATTTGCTCTGTTCAATTTGTGCTTTAACAGGCATTCACACATTTGTCAAGTAGGTAATTCAATTCAATGCAATTTGACAACAGCGTAACTGATAGTTGCAAATACAACAAAGTTGAGCAATAACAAGACTGGTTTCGGTTATGTGGATTGCCCACGTTTATCAGATGTGTTCTTGTATTCAAACAGCTAAAACGACACAGATTGACACAGATTGTAGGGATCTCAAGATGCGTTTTAAACATTTTTTAAACTTGACATGCTGCCTTAAAGTCACGATGTGAAGGAAATGCCGACAGATAACTTCTGACATATTGTGACGTGAAACAGATTATCGTAAAACTTGGTTCATCCATCGGTTGTTGATTGGATGAAGGCAGATCTGAATGTGAGTCTGCAGTTATTCTATGAAAGGGACGGGTTTATGGGGGCTAAGGGTGTTCACCCTTGTAGTTCGGTTCGCTTGGTCCAGACCCCAAACAAAACCCATTTAGATCTGGTCCGCTTAGCGTTCACATTGGCATTTTAACACCGAAGATACTGAACCTAAAGGCATAGAGATATGTTCACAACCCGATTGGTTGGCTTTTATTCGGTATATTTTGTGTCGGAACTTACCGAACATCCAAAACAATGCTGTGCTCAGGGCTAAATGCTCTCGTTGTATATATGAGCATATATTTTGAGCAGCTGAGAACTCGTGAAGAGCTTATAAAATGTGTAAAGGAGTCAAAACAGCGTCAGGAATCCCTCCGTCACACAAATGAAGATCTGTTGTGAGGAGACGCGGTTCTGACGCCTGATGGGCAACATCACGACTATGACGAGAAAAAACAGGTATTCTTGAGCTTTCTGTCTTTTTAGGGTCTCATCTTGTGACCTCATGTCCTGTTTTTGGTTCGTTTACATGTCTTTGGTCCGTGTTGCATTCATATTTCATTCGAATCAGAGTTCGTTTGGAAGCGGAGCGAGATCTTTTCAGTGCCTCGGTCCTCTTGTTTGGTGCACCAGGGTTCAGATGGCAGCGTTCACGCTTACTCAAATGAACCGCACTAACAGAGCAATCGCACCAAACATGCCAAGTGTGAACACACCCTAAATGATTGGAGAAGTCCTTCATACGTCACCAGAGATAAGTCTGATGCTTCAACAGAGGATCGAGTAATGACATTTTGATAAAAAAATGTCATAAAAAATTTAACTTGGAGAAATCGTTCACAACAAGATCAATTACATGCATGTCGATTTAAAGAACACAATGCTAACTGTCTAAATGCGTACGGCTCTAGTGGTGGTAATTCATACACATTAGGGAAGGAGTCAAAATTATCATCTGTGCTAACGGACAACATACTACAGATGTTGTCCATAAACATTAAGCCGAAAATAACACCGATTATTTCTTTAATACCCTGCAACATGGACAGAGGCAGCTGTGTGTGTGCTCGCAGCGCGAGATCCGTGGAAAATACGGAAATTACGCACTATTTAAAGGTATATTTAGGAAAAGTCCAAGTAAGGGTCCCTCACTGTCTTTCTCTCTGCAGTAGCAGGAAGCAGCTTGGCTCTGACACAATGGCTCACATCAAACAGCAAGGATCCGCATTGCGTTACCGACACACACATACACACCAATGCCAGTCGGGCCAATCAAAACACAGCGTGCAGAAAGCACAAACAGATCTAGGCAAACAGGACATTCCAGCTGCCGGGTGCTACAGATTCCTCACCGCAGCGAATCGCAGACCCAGAGAGTGAGAGCCACCGGGGGTGCCAACAGGAAATACGCTCCTATTATACATCTCGAATACAAGCACACACACACACATACCCTGACCCTGTCCGCACAGATTGACCCCTTGCACCGGACACACAGACAGAAGTGCAAGTTTGCAACTCTTTCCGGCAAAATGACACATCAGGGGTGTGAAAGTGACAAGAGGTTCGCCATACCACAATGTTCTGCAAGTGTTTACTGGTGGGAAAAGGTGTAAGATAATCTTGAAAAGCATCATTGAGCTCATTTCCACTGACTAACAAAAAACATCACACGCACCTCTCCTGACCTAGACACAACACCAGACAGAACGCCCTCAGTCCGCCCACAGTAAGCTTAATGACCGTAAATGAACAAAACTGGTAAGAGTTTGCTGAAATAGCCAGATCCAATCATACCGGATGGCTTTATGCAACTTCCAGAAGTAACACTACATGGGTCGGGTTGCACTTTAGAGAAAGAACTAGTTATTACTTTCTCATTTTTTACCTTTTTGATCATGATTATAATAATTTTATACAAAATAAGTGTGATATTGTAAAGATAACGAGGTAAACTAATATTAAAATGTATTAATATTAAATGAGTTATTGTTATATTATTATTTAATATCTTAAGTAAACACATTCATCTTGACAAAACTAAAAGCCCTATAGTTTGCTTTTTTTCTCTGAAATTTTGCGGCCCTGGCTTTTTGGGTCCCCATATATTAATCCATGAGCAGAATTGAGATTTTCATGCCATTATTTGAAATTGACAACAGATTATTGTGGTATAATCGATTTCAGATAAACCCTCCCCCCTAAACTGCATGTAAAACAAAACAAACTGTACAGCATATTACGTCCAAGATCCCCCACTTGAACAGACCCTTACGCCAATAGTCGAAAATATATCTACATGTGAGTGCAGTGCCGCTGCTAGCCATTTTGGTGCCCTAAGCATAATTCCTTTATGATGTCCCCCCGCCCCCCCTAAAAAAAAAAAACATTTTTATTTAGGATTTTCATTTAGGGGGGCCCCCAATGAGGGTATGATTTATAAAAAAATTAAAAAGCTAAAAAGTAACACTTTAGATTAGGGTCTAATGCTTACTATTAACTAGTTTCATTACCATGCAATGGCATGGTTTTATAATCACTGGGATCCCGAATTTGAGGCAGGTTAGTTAGGGGTGTTCGGGGGAAATTTGGGATTTTTCTGAACTACAGATGTGCATTTTAAAGATGTTGTGAAGGCAAAAAAAAAAAAAAAAAAAAATTCGATAACAGCTTTAAAACTATGTCAGTGGGCAGCTGATTATTTTTCTCTCCTCATCAGCATCACACTCTTTTTCTCTTTGTTTTTATCTTGCCCTGTCTCTTCCCCTCCTAAAGTTGGCTTTTTTAATTTACTAAAGGTTACAATTTGTATTTTATTCTCAATATGTACACATTCATTATAAATCCTGTGCCTAACATGATGAAAACGGCTTTGTTCATGTTTCTTGTCCCCTCACAATGACAGTAGCCTAAACTATTACACTAGGCTACATGTTACATACAGGCCTATTTTCAGTTCAAAATGGCGAAATTAGACAAAACTATATTAGTTTGCCTAATTATTTTTTGTCATTCGTTTAACATTTATGACCTAAAAAAAAAACTGTCAAATAAAGTTAAGTTTAGCTACTTACATCTTATCTCGCACTTGACCGTACACTGAAGCGTCGAGTTGCACTGTTAAAATTCGCGCTCAGCGTCTGTGAACATAAAGCCCGCCTACTTTGATTTGATTGGTCATCTCAAATATTCTGACATTGACGAGCAGTGACAGACCAATGATGAACACACACATGAACACATCACACACACACACACACACACACACCCTGTCCTGTGTTTCTGACGTGCTCTCTGTCTCTGCTCGGCGCCGCTGCGGAATGAAGAGGAAGAACGCGCTGAATCTGATTATAACAAGAAGTTTGATGATTGGTTTTTCATTAGGCTATTTTTGGTGCCCCCTCAGCACTTGGTGCCCTACGCACAGCGCGTGATGCGCGTGGTGGGAGCGGCGGCGCTGTGTGAGTGGCCAGGATCTTGCTCTTTATGAGGGAAGTTGAAGAAAAACAAAGAAAATCAAACAAGATTCCTGTGCCTTTCAAAAGATGTGCTTTATGTGACCTTTTGACCCTTCCCCGTCTTTCAGTCTCACCGGCAAGCACAGATTCAATTATTGTCACATTGACTTTCTCAC